TTGGAACTCTCTCAGTCATGTCTGTGCCCGTGTCCTTTGATTGAAACATGTTATTAACTTCAAACTCAACAATGACCCTCAATATGTTGACCTCCGAATCAGTGACCTTGAATGGGATATACTCGAAAATCTGGTTAAATTTCTTCAACCTTTTGAAAAAATCACATCCAAGCTTTCCGCTTCCAAATACCCTACATTATCCTTAGCAGCCTTAGCTTACGAAAATATGATGAGATGTCTTGAAATGGTGGGTACCGAGAACAGATTCCATCTAATCTTGGTCTATTGTCACTTGCTCATATCTTCAATTATCGTTGCAGTCCATGAACACATCAGATTCAGACGTAATGCCTGGTATCCGATCAGCTTTGAAGCCCATGTACGATAAACTTACCCTTTACAGGAACAATGCCATCAGGAAGCCCACCTATCTCATAGCAGCAGTTCTCGATCCCAGGAACAAACTTGAGGGAATCTGTCCAACCATTGTATCGCGTGATACTCTGGAGTATCACATCAACACCGAGTGTATTCGTCTTGGAATTACAGACACCATCGAGTCATTTGAAGCTAATCAACCAAATCTCAGCTCAGATGATCTGTTTGGGGAAACCTCAACTTCTCGTCCTGTTTTTCACCTTCGAGACGAAATCACATCATATCTCACTCGGTCACGCGAGCCTCAAACTCAAACCCCATTAGGTTACTGGCAACTCAACTGCCTTGAGTACCCTCACCTAAGCAAGCTTGCTCAAGCTATACTCGCTATTCCAGCAACCAGTGTTCCGTCTGAAAGCTGCTTTTCAGATGCAGGTCGTGTAATGGACAATTACAGATGCTCAATGAAGGCTGATACTCTCATGGAGCAAGTGTGCTTGAAAAGTTGGATGAATATCCTCAACTAATTTATACATATCTATTGTCTTTCTCCAAGTTTGAAGCGAATCGATCAGTGCCTCTGGAATACGAGCCAGATCATCAATTACATACCTTTTCAATACATCGTTTTTATATCCTCAATTAGCTCAAAAAGAGTCTTTTCAAAGTTTTTATACATATGTGTTGTCATTCTCCAAGTTTGAAGCGAATCGATAAGTGCCTCTGGAATACGAGCCAAATCTTCAATTACATACCTTTTCAATACATCGTTTTTATATCCTCAATTAGCTCAAAAAGAGTCTTTTCAAATGCTTAAGATATTTTGTTCTGATTTCTCTGCAATGCAAACTATGTCCTATAAAAAAACGTTCAGCTCGCTTTTAAAGTTGGGCTTTCTATCGGTCCAGTACAAAAAAACTCTCATTCTTCAACTGAGAAGAAAATGAAAAGTTTGGAATCAAATTCCTCAGTTTAAGCTAACCAAGGATCTCCAGCTCACTGAGAACCGAATACAAACATTTCATCTCATTTGTCTCATAAGCCTGTAATTTGAAATCAGTCAGGTTTGTTATGGTCACATCATCATCATTTCTGATTGTTACAGATGATGTTTTTTGGTCCAGTGATTGTTAAAAGAATGAAAAAATACAAGCTGTGATTAATTTAGGTAGAACGATTAGAGAACAATAGATGATCTCATTAAAAGTCAAACAAAAGTTATGCTATCTTTTCATACTTTGGAATAGCAAAGGTTCAAGAATGATGTTCAGTCCCTCGGAAGATGTGAAGCTGTTAAAGAAGTGTATGAGGGATGAGAAGCTCCCTATCAACCATTCCAGAATGAAAACAATTGATAGGTTCAACTTCGATCGATCGTCTTCATGAAAGTCTCTTCTTTGTTGATCAGACTCGTTATTGGATGTGGGGCACCCGGAGGCCGCCCTGCAAAGGCCACATGTGGCTCGGGGCGAAGGCCAGGGCGTGGCCTGCGCCCTCGCCCTCGCCATGCGCCCCTTTAGGGGGCCACGAGGCTTCGTGGCACCGGGTGTGAGCGTGAACCGTAGTGTATGTAGTGGTAGTACTGTCGTTTTCAAAAAGCTTGTCCAAGTTTGCCCGCAAGACTCGAGCAGCTTGTCCGAGTTTTCCCGCAAAACTCGAGCAATTTGGCGGGAAAACTTGGACAAGCTTTTCGAGAACAACAGTAGAATGGATGCAAAACAAAAGGATCCCCAGCACGTGAGACACACGTGCTGAACCAACAAAACACACACTGTCCCACCTGTGAGTTTTAGGGACACACCCTCAGATTAATGGATAAGTCCCTCTCCAGACCAGACACCCGAGCTCGCGAGGAAAAAGTGTCTGGGCCACAGAGGGACTTAGTTAAGTTAGGGAAACAGCTGTGTAGTGACGTCACAATGATTTTTAGCAAGCAGGTGTAACATAACCGAAAACTCCGGCCAATCACATCATGATGATTTCTCAATGGTTACTAAAGAGCTTATTCATCAATTCACACTCTTTCGCAATGATCAAGATTGCCTCCGATAAAAACTTTGCCAAGTGATTTTTTCCCTATCCCACTTACTGAGCATTTGTAATCTCAACTTTCCTGTCTCATCTCTGGAACCCATTCTATCAACTTCAACTTTGAATTTTGATGAGGCCCTACTGGCAATTGTACTAGGTAATGTCATGTTTGCTAACAACTGATCTTTATGAGTTCAACTCTCATTTTGCAATATGTAACTCAACTTTCACATTAACCAACTTGACTGTCTTGATTGAAACACTGACCGGTGATAAATAAAAACAACATCACTTGTTTCTTGATGGATATGTGGTCCCAGGGTTGTAGACTTGGACAAAGTGATTCAACAATCGCTCCGATGGAACGATTTGGGCAATTCTGTCAACCCATCTGTGTATGGTCCCGTTGAATCACCCATGAATCAATGGGTGAAATCGGGTGAAATCGATTTCTGATTTTTGTCCATAGTCAAGATGAAAGATCGAAAATCAACACGATAAGATGTGAATGTGATTGACAGAAGTCGCACCTCGAGGGGTTTTGAATTGCGATGGGTGGGACGGGCTAGGGGGAGCACCAGAGGATTGCCGGAGATTGGGAATGGGATGGGAATGGGAATGGAAGCTGTACAAATGAATAGCCGTACAAAATATACCCGACACCCAATCCGGTAAGGTACTGTCTTGATACTTCCAGCTAGCGCACTAGGCTGCTGGCTCAAACGCATCCCAAAACACGGTAGATATTTTTCAAAAAACTGCATTAAGCAGAGAAGTGATTATTCCACAACGAAGCATACAAAAGACCAAAAAATGGCCAACCCGACACTCGAGAGTCATATATCACTCCAACACATAAGCAAAAGGGGTTTTCTGCTCGAAGAGTGGCAATAAAGGTAGTCAAAAGCATGATGAGTGATAGCAATATTGTCAATGTGATTATTCCTCTGATCGTATATCACTTCCGCCGTATTTATATCGTGCACACAAATTCATTTCATCCCTTAGATGCAAGGCTTCTACAAACCCAGTCGGGCTAGGCAGATCACACGTTAGTCATGTCGATTCATCGATTCTGACTGCTTTACAAACTACAGCAGTAGATTGCTCAGCCAGGCCAGGTCATCAACTTGTATCTATAGTACAGGCCATCGACTCGTATCTATTAACTCATAGATTTGTATTTCATTCCAGATGGCACAGCTAGGCCAGGCCAACTCTGCTTGCTCGTATCTATCCATACATATGTAGATTTCAGGATTGTACACATTCTATCTATTACATTTCGGTTTTGATTTCTTTGGTGAAGAACTAGTTTAATTTTTCTTATCAATCGAAATCATCAAATGAAATCTCAGGACTCTGTTCATAGGTTCTTCAGAGTAGGATGTTAACATCGGTCGATATCTATGAAATTTAGTTTTATGTCGCGCCCTTATTGTTGTACCCACCTTGTGATAATGCATTAACAAGATTGACAAAGTACGGTTTTGATGTAGGCCGATGGGAGGAATGTTTACAAAGAAGTTTGCTGTGTACTGCTCAGTGAGGCTCAGCCTAAACCTCTGTTCTGAAACGTGGCGGTGAGGTCAGGCTCATACAGCCCATTCCCATTCCCCTGAATCCCACCCTCCGGCAGTCCTCCAATTCTCTGGGGCTAGGACCCTGGAAAGCTCCTGGAGAACAAACCGTCCTGAGGGGGTTTTTGGATACCGGTGTTTTGTGAAGTCATGTCACATGGTACCAGAGATGTGACAGGTGCAAAAGATGCGCCTCAACGAGGGCTATCAGATGGTACACATGTCTGACCCTGAACATGACTGGTGGCTTGGGAAATGTGTGATTTGTAACTTTTGCCCCCCCAGACCGATGAAAATCCATACCGGCTCGGGTCGGGTACTTACATACGGATATCTCGGTGATTACACGTGGTACAAAACTGAAAGTATATGTAATCGAGAGCCCTGATCAAGGCGCTTCTCCTACCACCGAGAAATCCATGTTAACCCACCTCTCCTCGGGGCAAATAGTGAAAGTGTGAGGGCCGGGGCCGGAATGGATCGAGGACGGTTTGTTCTCCAGGAGCTTTCCGGGGTCCTGACGGGCTGGCCTTTTCTCCGCCACCTGGTAGAATTGCATCTCGGATCCATTCGAAGTGAGTGAACTTTGAAGAATGGGTCATGAGGGAGAGCATGAAGGTTAATTGTCATCATGACTGTGCCTTTCACACGCCATGGCGTTCCCATTGAGGAAATTGAAAAGTCAAGTCATAGAAACCAATAGAAATCAGTTTACATTGGGCGCAAAAGATTAGAATTAGCTTAACTTGAGATCAAAACATCTAAGAAATGCTTGAGCTCAAATGAAGAGTCTAGAAGGAAAAGATTGATTTGGACTGAACTTCTCTGATTCGATAACCAACTGGTTTACATCTAGACTCGATTGATTCATAAAAAGAAGTAGTCTTACTCTTAATTCTAAAGAATGTCATTTTCATTCGAGATCAATCTTGATTGTTGATGGATATCCTGATCTAGAGACATCGATCAAATTCAATTCATCTAACTATCATATCATATCAATCAGTTCCCCTCACAATTTATCTCATTCATTCTTCCATTCATTTATTTATGATTACCAAGTCTTCAACTTACACTCAGATTTATCTCGATTTCTCTGCAGCTCATTGACATATACATCAAACTTCGATTCCTGTTCTCATTTCAATACAAGAATTTTCAAATCCCAACTTGGATTTCAAGACTTTCTTTTGTTCAATCCATTGTAGTTTTACATTTATACAAACTATCCTTTATATCCTCTCTTTATTGGATTCGATTGTTGATATGAGATTCAGATTTGACTTCCGATTCAAGATTTCTTCGGTTTGATCATTCGAGTTGATACATACAATACTCTTTGTGTTTGGTTTCGATTGAAAGTGGTAAGTGCTTGAAATTATCATCATGGTATCAAGTTAACAAAAGTGACCAAGAGTTGATGTGATCTATTTATATTTCAAAAGAAAGAAAGATTCTAAGATGGCGAATATCCAAGCAAGCTTTAAACTCAATCCATTGATTGAATGTAATGGACCAGTGAATCCAAAGAAAAAGAAAATCATCCAATTACCAGTATTATCGATTAGTCATTCAAATAAACAAAAGAAGTCGAATAATACTGATTCCAAGTTCAAGCAGAACAGTGTTGAAGAGAATGAGAAGACAATCAAGAAGCTCAGGACAGTGAACAAGAGGATTAATGATGTGGATATTATTAACGAATTTAAACAACTAGCAGGTTCAACTTGGTCCTTTCAGCGTTCCAATAGCTTATTAAACATTGATAGCATAACCAACAATGCACCTTCCTCCCCAACGATTCCAACTTCAGCTTCATCGGATGATTCAGAATTTGATTTTAAAAAGTTCCCTATGCCACCTCCACCTAGATCAAATACTACTTCACTTCCTTCAACTCCAATCCCTCAGATTCCATTAACATTGACTCCTAGAGAACTTTATAGATTTCCATTCACTTCTCAACTCAGTCAATCCCCTCGTCCTTCAATCCCTATCAGTGAAGCCTTTGATCCATCTCAACCTCCTAAACTTCCATTACCTCCTCTTCCATCTAATCCTCCACAAACAGCACTTTCGTTTGGTTTCCCTTCTATACCTTTAAGATCTCCTTCATCGAAAGCCGAATCTTCTTCAATGTTACCTGTTCATCAACATCAGCCTATCTTACCCACACCTAGCGTCAAACAAGATGGAATACTGGGTGGCTTAGCCATCGATACTTCTCATACCAAGATGCATTGGTCAATTCACCAGAGGGATGACTACTCAGGGAAGAGTGTCGACTGCAGTGTAATCAGCTCGCCTATCAAGACCCATCTTCCTCATCTTGATAATCAGACTCCTAATACACACGAACCATCTCATCAATACCGTAAGCCGGATCAACAAGAAGCGGACAGAGCTATCGTGGGACTTCTGTCAAACCCGGGCTCCCACCAGGAAGAGTTTAAACTCGACACGATTGACGGCTCACTTCTAGCCGAAGAACTTTTCATTGATTCCGCCTGCGAAGACGACTTGAAAGTGACTCCACTTCCCACCCATCAACTTGAGGATGACGACGATTTATTAACAAGTTCTTACGAGTCAATTAATTGGTCAGACGTGGTGATGTTGCCAGAAGAGGAAGACTTGATCGAGAGTGTTGAAAACTTTGTTACCTCACAATCCATCAAAGAATCCAACATAGATATCCTTGATCAATCGTTTCCAAAGGCGACTTCTTCATACATTCCTTCTCACAAGGCTACCAACAGCAACGCCGCCAGTCAACTGAAACCGACTCTATCTGTTGAGCTTGACATGACTTCGAAAGCGAAACGAATTTCGCTCACGAGTACCTCCAATAAACATCTTTCAACCTTTTCCGTTGGGGACCTCTCTGAATGGATCAAACAACATCACGGTAGCCTAGAACTACAATCAGGTCCACTTCAGTCCGATGACGACGAGAGTGAAATTGACTTGGAAGAATCCCTCGATAGACTCGCAAAGCGATTGGGTTATCAAGGCGAATATATTGAAGATCAACTCTCACGTCCAATCTCCTTTCAAGATCCACCTTCGCCCTCGTCTCCTTCGAATCTACCTGGAACGGAACTTGATGATGACTATGACCGTGATGACCTTTTTACTACTATGGAGAATCCCATCATACCTGCCCAAAAGAACAAGGACATCTTATCACTCGCCTTTAGCCCTACTTTTAATGCGGTGCCATCTGGTACTCGTTCCGATGGTCGCACTCGATCTTCGTCATCCACATGTTCTTTTACCACCAATTCCACTGCTTCCATCTTAACTCCCATCACACCCATAGATCATAAACCATTTCATCAACTCCCCCATCATTCTCCTCAGAGTAAGCTTCGACATCAATCTTCACTTTCGAAGCTGGATCTGGGTAGTACCAATAGAGTTTGTCCTTGTTTTGTTTCACACTCGATTCCGTATCCAGCACACTGACACATTTCTTTTTCTCTGCGCTACCAGCCTATGTTGGAACACAAGAGATCCTCCTTATCGATGGCTGTTCAATCAAATAATCATTCGAAATTCAAACCCGCATACCGACCACAACCCATGAAAGTGATTGAAGAACCCTCGAGTTCGGATGAAGAAGAATTTGATTTATCTCTGGATCATCCGCGACGTCCTGCATACATGCCCAACTCACTTCCCTTTACATCCAGATTATCTTCAACCAAAGCTCCGCGCTCTACGGTTCTTCCTTCATCGACCCCTTCGCTATTTGCTACTCTTCCCCGACCTTCATCTACACTTCGGAGGCCATTGGAGCCTTCGTCACTTCAGTTGAATCCCACTCCATCCTCCAATCTGGTGCAGCCACAGTCATGCCATGGCACATCCCGGAAAAGATCGGGGACAATCCACGAAAGTCCAACAGGTAAGCATCTTTTGTCCATAACGCTCGAAGCACATGAGCTGAAAACAGGTCCGCTTTGTCTCCTGCAGCCGTCAATGGGGAGGAATCAAACACTCCATTGGCATTCAACTTCGCAAAGACTGCGATACCTAGGGGAACGCTTGCAAAGACGATGCTAAAGGCTCCAAGGGTACAACTTTCGACACCCAATCTGCGGTCCTCGATCCCCAAGCCATCGTTCACAAAGACTGTCAACTCGCAGCCCACCAGCTCGAATGCAAACTCTGAGAACATTTCAATTGCTTCACCTAATCTCTCATCATCTCGGATTAAACCCAAGATGTCACATGATCAGCTCTCGTCTGTAATCACTGATACTGAACGTCGACTACCAAGCTTGCCTAGCTCAGTCGGTAGACCAATTCCTGGTCGAATTCCTGTTCATTCGTCGCACAGCCATCTCCTCGCGAGTGTACCGAGGCAGCAGCTCCGAGTTCTATCTCAACCATCTCATCCTCAGATCGATGAAAAACCAGCGTCGAACCTCTCACCACCCCTCACTCCCAATATGGCTGACCCCGAAAGCAATCCTTCACCTCTTGATGTCATGCCACCACCTGGAACCCCTGGCTTACTTGAACGTCGGCAACGGCTATCTGGTGGGCCTTCCCGCGCCGCCGGTGAATCTTGTAAACATGAAAGCCATGACGTTGAGGGAGAGAGACCCGCTTCAGCCCCGATTGCTGAGTCTTTTGGCCGGGTATCAAGACCAGAGACACCGAGACGAGCAAGCTCGGGTACAATTGACTCATCGCATGTTGGGAGTCACCCAAGGGCATCAAGTGTGAACCAGCAGATGTCATCTTCAATGACAGCTGAAGATAATCGAAGATCGAGCTCCAAGTGGTCTCGGAACATGAATCTACAATCGGAATCGATTTCCGAGGCCCCAGAGGAAGAGGGTCAAACTGAGAATTTGACTTCCACAAGCATGACAAGTGAACCGTCATCAGCCGAGCGAAAATTACGCTTGAAGCCTCTTTTCCTTGGCTCTTCAGCCTTACCTGGAGATCGAATCGTTTCATGTGAACCAACCTTACGTCAAGTGAAATCAAGAGCATCCTTATCACCTTCTGCAAATCGTTTAACATTCCCTAACAATCCACCTTTAATGACATCATACCTCACTAGAAGAAGTTCCATAGGATTCAGTCCATCTCGACCTACTTCCTTCCCAGTGACTGTTGGTTATACTTCTAGCTTATCTATGAATGAGCAAGAGATCGCTTCTTCTGGTCATGGATCAGGAGAACGATCACCGAATCTTTCATTATCTCATACAAGAGCTTCAGGTTCTATTTCGATCAGACAACTTACTTATAATTAAATTTCATGGAAACTTTTTTTGTTTTGTTTTAGGTGTGATGTTAAAAGGATGATGAGAATTTAATTTAAATTGGGATTTTGAAATTTGATTGATTTATATGATTTGATTGAGATGTTTATTCATTCATTTTTTGGGAAAACTGTATAACACATTAAGAGATAAGGAAAGGTTATTGAGATGGTTTTAATTTGATGATTTTCTTTTTGACTTAGTCAATTTACATTCATTATAGACAATATTTATTTTTTGCATTGGTTTTATGATTTATATTTTGATGAATTAATTTATTTATCATATATATACTTATATGTGGTTTTTTGTTCGTTTGGTGGTGATCTTAAGATTTATTACCTTTTGGGTTTTTTCATTTGGTTTTACCAACGGGTTTTGGGTTTGGTTTTTTCGTTTGTGAAGGTTTTTCCATCATCATTATTTCTGTGTTTTTTGGGGGGAAGAACATTTGGAATTTGATGAGCTTTTTTGTTTTTCGAAAGAAGTTTTGTATTGAATTGTTTTGATTAAATATTAATTTATATAGTCAATTTTTTTTGGTTTTTTAATGTTTTGATTTTTTGATTTTGTGGATTAACATGATGAATTTTTTTGAATGTGAACTTATTTATAACTTTTTCCATATGTTGCGTTGAGCTTGAACTTGAGGTTGAGGGTGAATGATGATGAGCTTGGAATTGAAAGGTTTGGTGAGTTTTTTTTGGAATTTGAATGTGGATTTATCATTATTGTTATTGTGATGTTGATGATGATGTGAAAAATTATATCAATCTTTTTTTATCTGATATATATCTTTTGGCATTACATCTACTTGGGTATTTAACCTACTTGCTTCATGAATCACTACAGGCAAGATTGCACGAGTGGTTCTGAATTGGTCCAAAAAGATTTCAGGCTTCTTTTGAGGATGCTAATCTATAAGTGTTCTTTGCCAATGGGTTAGGAAACTGATTTTATCTGATCAAAACATTTGATTGAGGCCTTGGAAAATAATGAATTGTGCTTGCTCAAACCCTCATGGAAAAAAGCAATTTGATGAAACTATACATAGTGGGCTAAGTATGTTCAAAACATGATGATGAGGACGGGAAACTCATTTATTTAGAGCAGAGGTGCCCCTTTATAAAGCCATCTGAAGCACATTGAACCTGGGAATATCATTCAATCAGGTGATGGGATGGATGTACTGTGATTGGAAAGCATTTGAGCACGAGTTTCATTTGGAGATCTTAAGAGATTTGACTTGATGCAAGTTGAGAGATAAAATGATGAAGTTGAAGACAGAGAACAACAGAGGACCTCATCAGCAATCCAGACAGATTGATGGGTTGATCCGTAGTGTAGCCCCACTTGACATCATTCTCAACATCTTTCGCTCAAAATTCCTTAACTTCAACTTTATCACCTCGTCTTGTTTCTCTTCCTTGTTCAAAAATCATCAAGGTCAGACTCAAGCTTAAATAACACAGGCATAAGCTTCGTGCGTGGGGATGGAACATATGTGGACCACTTGCTCTCACCATGTTGAAACCATGCGCACGAGGCTTATGGCTTTGTTGAGTTTGTCAAAATCGCCATAGGTCTCCATTCTATGAATATGTCTCTGCCTTTTGTGAACACCTCCGCTCCACCACATCCGTTGGAATATATAATCAGGCATCAACTCGAAGTTGGCGTTGGACCGCACACTAGTCCAAAGAATGAACGGATAAACCCTTGATCATATCAGAGATTATCCAAAATCTTCGGCCATTTCGACCTTCACAAACATATATAAATCGCATCTTCCCTCGTTCGCCTAACTCCTTCCAATCGATTGTTTGAAACTGAATTTATAAAAAGACTTCTTTCTCATCATGCCTCAACTATTCACATACTTATTCATCAATCTTGCTATCTTATTGCTCTCCCTGGCTACCATCAGGGCTGGCAATTGTATAGTCTGTGGGTACGACGGCCGCGCGTATAGCAGTAGTAATCCTGGACTTGGGGCCACCAACCTCTGTAAAGGCGCTAAGGACGAGATGCCAGGTTGCACCGGCTGGGATTGGTATACAAACATCAAGGACCCAAATCATGCGGGTCAGAAGACGTATTGTCGATTTTATTGTAAGTTTAATCACGTTTCAAAAAATGGGCAAGTCTTTTTTAAAAAAAGGGGATTTATCTGAGATTATCTTTTTTGGAAAATCTTTGATCTTGTCTTGTTTCTCACTTCCTAGGTCCGGATATACATACTCCTTGCCCCGGCCACAAGGTCGAAGACGAGAACGATCCGCTCAACGCCAAAGAGACGCTTCTTGGGAAGTCCATCATGGATTGTAGAAATTGGCCAGTATCTAAATGAGGTCATTTGCTAATGAAACGGATGATCGGTCAAGCAGGTAGGTTCATTATTCCTGCGATCTTTAGACACTTTACTAACTTTGACAGTTGACTGGATGATGATTGCATTTTACTGTAGAATGTTTTCGTTTCATAAGGGTCCAAGTAATTTTATATCTTGCTTTATTAGAAATCTGTTTTCATCATGGACATGTTCTGAAGCAGTTGTCAGCGTATATTTAGTAGTCACTAAACTTCATTTGAAAGACATTCAGAGGAGTAACTCCTAGTGACCCTTCCCTCACAGTCTCCTAAGATTGTCTTCAGGTCTCTTGAAATTTGGAGTTGCAGGATGAGGTAGGAATGAAGGCATGTCGAGAAGAGTTCAAAATATATGCAATTCAAAGATTGTGCTTGAGGAATTGTACGTCTTTGAAGTGAAAGCACTTGATTTTTGTAAAAAACAAGAAGAATGATAAGTGAGAAATGGGTTTTTCAAATTAGATGATACATAAATAATATACATCATAGTTCCTTGGTAATTTAATCAATAAGAGAAACAAAAAGGGTGTGTGTAAATAACATCACCTGATTTGAAAAAAAGCAATTGAATATGGTTGTGCATACAGTTGAATTTGGTATTGAAGTGAATTCTTACTTGTGTTTTTTTATGATGTTTGTGATATTTTGCATCACTGTTCTTGTTTCCTTTTCTTGTGTTTTGATGATCAGTGTTCTTGTATTTTTATCATTGTTTTAGTCCTATACTCTGAACAGGGCTTGATTCTGAGCTTGTCCCATCATTCCGCCTGACACGATTGACCTATGCACAAAATTAAATCCCAAAGGATCTGCTATGCAGATATCTACTGGTTATGTGATATGAATATTGTTTCTTCAATGCCCTTGAAAGAAACTATTTTGGATCATTGTTTTCTGGGCTGCAGACTCCAGAGCCTACTCTCAAATACCAAGGATGTTTTCAGAGGGATTCAAATATGTGGACGGTGACCCAGATGTGTATGGGTTTAGAGGGTTCGCCCAGCAGACCCATACACCCTAAAGCCATAGGATACCCATTACACACCAAGGGATACCGTATCACACAGTGTTAACCGATTTGTGATCAGCTTGTGTTTTTTGAAATCATCTTGCTTCTTCTTCCTTTACCTTGGAGGCCATGTTGTGATTGTTCTCGAGTTCATTGTCAAAAGTCATTTTCTAAGAAACTCGATTGTAAGTGACATGGTCTCAGGGTTATCAATTGATGAATGGCCATCAACCAGTTTTGACGATTCTTACAATTTGGAGAGTTGACTGAATTCACAATCTTTGGTTTATAAATGCGATTGATATCTTTTCAAGAACCGTTAACATGAAACGTACCAATTCTGAATCTAACCGTGATCAAAGGCCATTGCTTGCTGGACTACAACCGCTTTCTACTTCAACATCATCGACCAATGCTACTGCAAGTAAACGTAATCGAAAGCATACGGCCGATACATTTGAACCTAGCCATTCCGATTCACTCGATGATCCAGATGTAGTTGTTGACGATCTCGATGAGGATTCAGATGTGATTGTGGATTCACCTATCGATCCTGTCACACCTTCGGCTTTAGAAGCTCGATTTGTTTTTAATCCAATTAAGAAACCATCCAAAACTATCTTTGTTGAAGGTCTTTCTAATCCTACTCAATATCCTAGAGGTTCAATTCGTCATCCGGTTCCACTTGCTCGTACAACTTCAACTGTCAGACCGATTCTTGAACTGAAAAAACTTTCAATTCGTAATCGAAAGTGTTAGTGTTGTCTGATTTCACTTTGATCCTTTTCCCTTCTGATATTCTTATGATTTGTTTTGTAGCGATCGAAGACCTAAATCAAACAGCAAAGAAGATTAGTATTGAACCGCAAGCAGATGAGTCTATCAATCATAGCGTTGGTATGATACTCGATGCCGTCAAGGCGCTCACGTCAAATCCACCACAGCCTACTTCCGTGAGTTTGACCTTGCTCTCGAACGCATGCGAAGGTAAGATTTCGTTTTCCCTCATCCATTATCCTACACACCTCACCTGCCATTTGATGGTCTGCATTTCTCTTATTGAAAAACGTTTTCTCGTTGTGGTTCAGGTCTTGTGATCTACAGCCCACCCAACTGTGAGGCCCTTTACGAACAAGTTCGGGATCGACTTCAAAGAAAAGCCAAATCTATCTCTGATCAACTGGGTGAAAGTTTACCCAAACCTGAAGTCATGAATCAACTTTGTACAAATTCATATGGAAATCTACTTCAAGTTCTTCAATCTAATAATATGTTTAATAATGTGATGTGTTGTGATTGGATGAAACGGGTTCATCTTGTTTGGAAAGAGTGGTTTGATCTTTTGTTGATGATCCGAGGTATTCTTATTCATCTCGATCGAACTCTTTGGATTCGGTCGGATCACAAGCATTCCATTTGGTACGTCTTAGTGATTGTACTCCTTTGTCAGGAAACATCAAATTACTATATCTCATCGGTGTTCTAATCTCACCTTTGTAATTTTCCTCTCAATAAAGGCATTTGGGCTTGGACCTTTTCAGAAAGCACGTCCTAGGTGTTGACGGAAATCGGTTGTCTCTTTTACTCTCAGCTGTAGTCTGTCAACAAGTCGACTTTGATCGGTTGGGTAGGTCAACCCCCGTCAGTTCACTTCAATCAATCAACCAACTGCTGCATACGACCGTTGGTGCCGAAGGCTTCGATCGAATCATTCTACTGCCTCTCATCAAATCTACTGATCTGTTTTATGAAGATGAAGGAAAAAGATTGATAATAGAAGTGATCTCGGATTCTCTTCGTGTGGGTGGTCCTCAAGGTTATCTGAGACACAGTCTTGTTAGAATCGAAGCCGAAGTTTCACGACTGAGTAAATTATTCAAAACATCTGATGAAACGATCAATGAACATACCCAATCAGCCATTCTACAATCTGTGGAACGAAATCTGATTTATCATCATCTTGATACTTTATTATCTAAAGGATTTGGAGAGATGTTAGTAGGCTTTCCTGAAAGAGAATCAAGTCAATCAATTCAAGATTTGTATAAACTCATACAAAACTTGGGTAAAGAATCGATTCAAAAATTGAGAAATGCGTTTTTAATATGGATGAAACAGATTGGAAATCGGATTGTTGGTGTGGGTTATGAGACTAGTGAACAAAGGGAAAAAGAAGATGAAGAGATGATTGAGAAGTTGATTGAGTTTAAACTTAAAATGAATGACTTGGTTAAGATTTGTTTTGAATCTGAAAGAGAAATGTTTCATGTTGTTAAAGAAGCTTTTGAGAGTTTTATCAATCAGAGACAAAATAAACCAGCTGAATTGATAGGTAAGTTTTCTTGTTTATTTAGATTCTTTTTTTTGTCAGAGGTTTTGCATTTTTGATGACTTTTTTCACTTTTTTCGCATAGCTAAATATTTAGATCAAAAACTTAGACAAGGAAATCGAAACATGACTGATATTGAATTAGATCAATGTTTAAATCAAGTTTTGATTTTGTTTAGGTATACTCAAGGGAAGGATATATTTGAAGAATTTTATAAACGTGATTTAAGTAAAAGATTATTACTTTCTAAATCTGCTTCGATTGATACTGAAAGAAATATGGTGATGAAATTAAAAGAAGGTGAGTTATCTTTTTGTTATGATTCTTTGGGTTTATTTTGGTTTCTGATGACTGTTTTTATATAGAATGTGGGGGTGGATTTACAGCTAAATTAGAAACTATGTTTAGAGATATTGAAACTTCAGTTGATATTAATAATTCGTATCAAACAGTGTTGAAGAAACATAAAGAACATGAAGAAGAACGTTCAATTGAATTAAATGTATCAGTTTTAACGGCCGGTAGTTGGCCAAGTCATCATACAGCTGAACTTCAAATCAATTTACCAAACGAATTGAATTCATCATTGAAGAACTTTGAAAACTTTTATCAATCTAAATATTTAGGACGAAAACTTAAATGGAATCATTTACTTGGTCAATTTATCCTTTCGGCTAGTTTTCATGGATCTGGAGGTAAGATTAAGAAGAAGGAATTATCGGTTTCGACTTATCAAGGGATTATTTTACTTTTGTTTAATGAGATTGAAAGTCATGAAAGTCTTGGATTTGAGAAGATTGTTGAGATGTCAGGTTTACGTTAGTTTGAATCCTGTTTTTTTTCTAGATTTCGGAAGAAAAAGAAAGAAATTGATGTTTTTTTGTTTTGTTTTGATTTAGCTGTTGGAGAAGCAGCTCGAACTTTACAGAGTTTAGCTTGTGGTAAAGTAAGGGTATTGGTAAAGACACCTAAAGGAAAAGATGTAAATCAGACTGATTGCTTTAGTTTGAATCATGAATTTAAACATGATAATTTTAAGATCAAAATCAATCAAATCCAATTTAAAGAGACTGTAAGAGTTATTTTTCATTTTCAACATTGTGAACTCGAGAAAAAAAAGATTTCTTCTGATGTTTTTTTTTGTTTTGGTATTTTTCTTAGGTGATGGAACGTCAATGTACCACTAAGAAAGTCGTGACGGAAAGATCTACATTATTACAACTTTCGATTGTTAGGATTATGAAATCTAGAAAACAAATGAAACATCATGAATTAGTGATGGAGATCATTAATCAATTAAAAGATAGGTTTTCAGTTCAACCTAAAGAGATTAAAGTTGGGATTGAAAGTTTGATTGGTAGAGAGTTAGTTGAATGAGTTTTTATTTTCTCTCTCTCTCTTTCTAATGAATTTGTTATTGATTTGGTTGATTGATTTTTGATTTTCTTTTCTTTTAGTTATATCGAAAGAGTTGATGGTTCGATGGATGAATACCATTACTTGGCTTGAGATTTTTGGTTCTCAAGATTTTGGTTTTTTGAAAGTTTTTATAAGTGATAACTTAATTTGGTTATGATACTTGAAGTTTTGTATGTTATGTTTTTATTCAAATTGATTGTTTTATTTATTTATTGTGATGGTTTTAGTATAGATGTATATTATTCTTTTTTTTTTGATGTTTGATTGAAGATTGAAGAAGTTTGGAAAATTGGATGTTTATAGAGAGTTGTTGGGGAAGAAATCTTTTCTTGTAGTTTGATACTGGTTTGAGATTGTTTGTGTGGACTTTGAGGCCGTTTTCAAAGAGAGGAACTGAGGAACCAAAGTTGTGTTGAATAGATAATTGGATGATATTTGAAGTGAATGGTGTTGGGATACTATATAGTCAGCTACAGTGGGATTCCTTTTTAAGCATTGCCTTTACAAGCATATTTTTTGATAAGCATCAAAAATGATGTGACCATTTTTGGTGGGCAGTAAATTTGGATTTATAAGCATTTTAAGCATATGCTTCAGGTTTTGACTGATATGCTTGTATAATTTCATGTGAAGCATGAAAAAAGAAGCATAACATGATTCTTTCACGTGTTTATGCTTCTATGTGATGCAAGAAAGGAGAAGAAAGGTAGGTGAAGTGGAGTAAATTAGGCTGCATTGAGTAGAAAAGCGAAGATCAATTGAAAAACTGTCTGTCAATTTTTGCTTCTAGGTTTCTGTAGTACATATTTTTCAATAGTTGCAAGTGCCAAGCCTGACATTCAAGCATAGCATAATTTTGAGCATGTTTTATGCTCCTATAGGCTATTAGGTCTGTTCCGATAAGAAGCATTTTTTATATTAGCATGGGATTTGATGCAACCATCACCATGCTTATAAAGGAATCTCACTGTAGTGTGTGAAGTGAGTGAAAGTACTGTGATGATGAAATCTTTTTGAAGCTTGAATTGGACACGGTGGCCCGTGGGTCTGAGAGAGAATGCTTTCTCTAATTTTAAGATTCAAAGGGATCCAAGTGAGCTTGAAGAAAGTTTGCATAAAAGAAACATCTTAAATGGAAATTCCAATTGAAACTTGAAACATCAAATCAAAACAAATTCACTTTATCAATCCCATCAAGAATGCTATCAGCTTCATCTTCAACAAACAAATCAACCATTCCATCATCAAATTCAAATTCATCAGAAACTGAGATCTCTTCATCACAGGAACAAGAACAGAAGATTCAAGAAGATCAAGATTTAAATCAAGACTTAGAAGTTAATCAAACTCATGATGACTACAAAAGACCATTTAGTTTAAACTCAATTCCAAGAAACAGTCTGATTGCGGAAGAAGGAAACCATTCAATCGATTCATTTTCACCACCTACTACACCACCATTATTGGGATCTAATCATGAATCTAAACTTATTAATCTTGAAACGACACCTACTTCGAATTTACAAAGAGAACGTTTATTGACAGGTCCAAGAAGTGATTCTGAAGGTTTGAAACAAGTTTCGATTGGATCAAGTTCTAAATCTAAAGAAGAAATTCATTCATCTACAAACTTATTATCTGAAAACTCTGAATCCATCAAGCTTCCGTTGAGAAAGGATTCTGATACGAGTACTATTTGGAGATCATCATTAGCATCAGTCAATGAATCTTCAATTGATTTGGCTGGTTTGTCAACCAAAAATCAGTTGGAGAAAACTGATTCTGTTTCTCAATCGAGGCCGGTTTCTTCTTTCGATCATCAAGCTTCAACACGCGATGATACAAATGATTTACCTGGGATTAAAAATCTAGACATCAACTTAAGCCCAAGTTCAATTAAGATCTCTGAAGAAGCCGAATCGAAATCAACTTTAAGAAATCTTCATGGTATGAATCTGATGGATGAAAGTTTACATTCTACAACTCGATTAGGACCAACACGTTCAGGAGCCACTTCACCTAGTAGAACACCTACAGGTAAATCATTTGATCCTTCTGTGATTCATCATCCTGGTCAATCACCATCAATAGAAGAAGACGAATCCAAACGGAAAAGTTTACTTGAAGGTCGTCATAAACTTATTGAACATTTTACTAGAGTACAAGAAGAAATGACTGGATCGAATTCTAAAACCATAACTAATTCGATCCAAGAAGAAAAACCGATTAATGAATCTAAAGAAATCATTAAAACTAAAGATAATGAACAAGAAGATTTAAAAAGGACGCGCAAGAAATCATTAGAACCTGCTCCTGTGAGTTTGATTGATTGGGATTTTTGGGGTTCGGTGATGAATGATTATGAAACGGTGGCGAAAAAGAAACCAAAAGAATTAAGTCGAGCTATTCAATCTGGAATTCCTCCAGCTTTGAGAGGAATGATGTGGCAGTTAGTGAAGTCCCCCAAAAAACCTGATTTTGATTTTTCTTTTATTATCCTTCATTAGAAAATTGGTTGATTGATTTTGTTTTGTTTTTTTTTTCGGTAGATTAATGTCATCTTCTAAAGATGTTGAATTAGAAATGGAATATTCTAGATTATTAAACTTACCTTGTCAGTATGAAAAATCGATCACAAGAGATTTAAATCGAACCTTTCCTCAATTAGAATATTTTAAAGAATCAGGTGGGGTAGGTCAAGATTCATTATTAGCGGTTTGTAAAGCGTTTTCATTGTATGATGAAGAAGTGGGTTATACTCAAGGACTTCAATTTATTATTGGTCCCATGTTATTAAATGTAAGGGAAAACTCTTTTTTTTTTTTTTTTGAGTTTTTTCAAATCGTTTTTTTTGATTAATTGATTTAGTTATTTTTTTTTGGGATGAGATTGGTTTTCTTTTAGATGCCGGATGAAGAAGCGTTTTGTGTTTTAGTTAGATTGATGAATTCATATGATCTTAGATCACATTTTATTCCTAATATGCCAGGACTTCAATTAAGATTATTTCAATTTGATCGAATCTTAGAAGACCTTTTACCTCATGTTTATATGCATTTGCTTAGACAAGGGATTAAGAGTAGTATGTATGCTAGTCAATGGTTTCTAACATTATTTGGGTAAGTTTATTTAATCATCTTGATGGCAAAATGAATTCTATTTCTTTTTTATTGGATGAAGTATAAAGATTGATGAGATGTTTTGTTTTGGATTTAGGTATCGATTTCCATTAGAGTTAGTTTCAGTTGTAATGGATTTAGTTTTTGCAGAAGGACTTGAAGCAGTTTTTAGATTTGGATTAAGTTTGATGAAAAAGAATGAAAAGGAAATCTGTGAAAGAGGATTTGATAAGTTATTAGACTTTTTAAAGTTGAATTTATTTGAACCTTATAAAGTAGGTTAGGCTTTTTAGATAATCATAAGGTTTTCTTTTCTTTTCAAAAGTAGTAGGGATTGAAGATTTGAATTTTAGGTAGACTGATTTGAGTTTCTTTTGTTTGATAACTTTGGTAGAATGATGATAGTTTACAGGAATCTTTAAAAGTTCAACCATTTTCTTGTGATTCTGATTCGATACCGAAAGCTGCAGTAGTCGATAAAAGGTTAGATCAAAGTACCACACGAAAAAGATCAGGAACAGATAGTTATAGAGCACAAGAGTTTATTAAAGATGCCTTACAGATCAAGATCACACCGATGATGTTAGATCAATATTCATCTGAATGGGAATCGATCTGTAGAGAGAAAAATGCACATCAAATTGAGATTGATAGATTAAGAGATGCTAATGCTCAACTTAGTGCTCAGGTTAGAAGATTAGAAAGTAATCTTGCTCAAGTTAATGAAGAAGTAAGGTTTTTCGATTTTTTTGTCTATGTGGACATTGGTCGGTTTGAAGAACACTGATTCAGGTTTTGTTTTTGTGAAATAGCATTGTGATTTGGTTAAACAGGTTGTGATGGCTAAACTTGATAGGGAAGAATTAGAAGAAGAAGTGAGGAATCTTTTTTTTATTTTTTGATTTTCTGTTAATCATTCTTTCATTGGCTTACCGTTAACGATCATGATTTTTCTTTGATCTTAGTTGGTTAAATATAAGATGGCTTTTGCAGATTTATCACATCAACAAGCTTCTGAAGGATCAAAACAACATCGAGCTTCGATTATTTCGACTCATTCGTTTAGTTCTAATGGACCTAATTCTTTCATTTCTGATTCCCATTAAAGTTTAGACTTCCAATATAGATTGATGAATGAATGAAATTATTTATGAGGATTTGTTTTTTTGTTTATCTTGATTGAATTAGTGATGAAGAATTTAGATGAATGAATTTGATGATAGAGAGAAAGTACTTTTTTTCAATTCAATTTGAATTCTAGTTTTTGATTGTATTCTTAGTTTTAAAATATTAATCATATTCAAGTTTTTAGAAAGTTGAAGGTTTGGTTTTATTTTTTTGTATATATGCATAAAAGAAAATGGGGTGAAATTGATTGGTTTCACTTTTAAAAAGGTTTATTATATTGAGTGGATTTCAATTTAAAATTGTGTGTACAAGCACAGTCAAAATCTTGTACTGTGATATTAACGGTACTCAAAGTTGTGTATACTTTGCCGTGCATAGTTTTTTTGTGTTTTTTTGCAACTACAAACAACTTGGAAAAAGTATGTTTCTTGATTGAAGCTCAAAGATATGTACTTTTAAGCCAAAAACATAGTTTTCCCTGGTTGTGTGAATTTGTGAAAAAAGAAAAGAAAACTATGCACAGCAAAGTATACACAACTTTGACTACCGTAATTGATCTCCTCATGAAACACAACAAAGAAATCAAGAAAATTGTGGTGTGAAACGAAAAATGTGTTGAGATAGTCCTGCATGACTTTCAAATTCCTTATGTAAAAGTCCTGTGAGACTAACCCATGATACATAGATTCTAAGTGTGTGCTTAACAAGCACATTACATCATGTGAAAACCATTATGTAAAAGTTTCACTATATAAATCCTACTGGAGCAGTCTAGGAAAGGTGCTTCTTCTTCACCTTTCCTTTGTCTCTTTCTCTGACTGTTCCAGGTAGGATTTCTCTCTGTGTTCTCTCTTTCTCTGTTCTGTCTGATTTTGTCCATGAAATTTACATACCTTTCCTTTGTCTCTTTCTCTGACTGCTCCACAGCTAAAGTGGTTATGAGCCCATCATCTACTGACTGAATTCAAACCATATCTCATATTCTTAGTTCTTCAAATGACTCAATTAACTTCTTGAACCTAAATTCTAAAACTCTAATCATCATTGCACATCTATTTCATATTCTGTAACCTTTGTTTTGGAAAGGTCCAAAGGTACAATGACTGATACTACCAATAAAACAATCAAGTTATCTGGTATGACCCCACTCCGCCCACCGGGCAATGACTCCAATTACCTTGATTGGAAGTTCAAAATCAAACTTGCTCTCAAAGATGCAAAGCTCTTGTATGTCCTGCAGCCCATTGTAGCAAAGGATTGTCCATCTGGCTGGGAGGTTGACAACACCAAATCCTGTACCCTGATCTTGAGGTCTATCGAAGACAGTAACCTCCAATACATCAAGTCACATTGACAAGATGCATCAGGGACGTGGGCAGCTTTGCAATCTGCGCATGAAGACTCCACCTCTGGAGGACACATGCATCTTCTCCATTGTCTCATCACCACACAAATGGTGGTGATGACATCATTTCTAATATCAACAAGCTCCATAACGTATATGAACGACTCGACTCACTGATCACTAACAAGTCTCCTCTCACTGTCAACAAAATCTTCACCACGTCTATTCTGACTTCTCTTCCTATTGATTGGCTTCCGGTTGTTACTCCTCTAATGCACCACACCAAGGTCAACTCCGCTACTGTCATTCGATTCATCAAGAATGAAGTTACTTGCTGTTGTAGAACTCCTACACAGTGTAGCGTAGGCTGAGCCAGAGAGGGTAAGAATCACCACGTGTGAGAGCGGATGAAAATACGGGTGCAGTGAAGCTGCCCTCAACCTTTTATTGCTGTTTGGAAAGAACTAGAACAATCTAACAACTTTCTATCTGCACAAATTTTTGCCGCAAAACTTTGTTTATCCCGCAAATGGATGCGCAAGGTCTGGCGGTGTACTGTACACGCCTACACAACCTCTATAACCAGAGTTATGTATTTTCAATTTTTTACTACTTTTGGATTTTGAGTCCGCAACGTACTTTTGCAACTGGAGAGGGGGGAGATGGGTTTGTTGGCGGTGGGGATTTTCCAGAAAATTGGGTACTCGGACCCGGTGCTAACAACTTATGATTGTTTTGAATAATTGGCAAAGTTGAATTTCCAGAAGGGATTTTTTAAAATTGACGGATTTGTTGAAAGGGAGGGATTCAAACAGGTGCACAGGGTTGGCCCCAAGTTGTTTGAGATTTCACCAACAGTGACAGTAATGTCAAATGGAATAAAATAAATAAATACATAAAAACAAGTACCCTTCACACCAGCTCAGCAACCAATAAGAACTCAATATCAATAACTCAAACAACACAACCTCAAGATTGATGATCAACAGATTTAATCACAACTCCTTCAAAACCAGAACACTTCAAGACTTTAACACTATCACTTCAAGACTTCAACACAATCACTTAGACACAAGCACACACAAAAAGAAACACACAGATCAAATCAAAACCAATATGATAGGATGAAGATTCATCCGCCTTGATTTCTCCAGATTCCTCCTGCTTTTATACTTGCAACCTCCTATTCAACCACTATGCACACTTCCATGTGCCTCAACCAATTTGTTTAAGTTTTACTCCAATCACATTCTGCCCCTCCTCTCCCAGATCACATCAACGCAAGTTTTTCTTTCTCCACTTTCCTTCTGTTTCATTCAATACTAATTTCTGCTTCAACTTCCCCACTATCCCACTTGATCAATCAATGCCCACCTCATATCACCTTCTCCACCTCAATCTCATTGCATCATCATCAAGGTCCTCTTGGCTTTATTGATTTAGAACTTGATTTTGGATCTTGATCAGGGTAAGTTAATCAATTTCAATTTTGGCTCATTTAAGTAAGTTTCATTTTGATTTTCTTCTTTGCTTTCTTCCTTCATTTCTACTTGAATATACTGACATCATCATCTTTCTTTCTCCACTATCTCATCTTCTACATTTAGTTTTTGATTTTGATCCTTTTGTAAGTAAGTTTCTCCACTTTCCTTTTCACCTTTATAGTTTTAATTCAACTACAATTTCAATTTTGATCCTTCAATTTAAATCTTGAATAAGTAAGTGATTTTCAGATTTGATCCTTCTATTTAGTTTATCATGTTGATCCCAGCTTGTAATCTTGGTATCACATTCTTGTTTTCTTCTGATCTTAAATCTCAATTTTGGACCTTAATCTCAATCTTGAATAATACTGACACCTTCCTTTTGTTTGAAATATAGATATTCTTTACTTTATTAAATAGTAATCACCAATTTCTTTTAGTATTTCTTCTTTTATCTATTTTGTTTTGCTTGTATGTAGTTCATCTTTTGTAAAGAGATGAGTAGCAAAATAATTAAAGTGCAAATTTGAAGATAATAAGCTATAATCAAAGATAAGTTTGAGTTGAGTGATGATACTTGAGTCTTGAATTTGAAGAATTCTATGAGCTCATAATTGTAAAATGCAATATAAATAATTGTTATTTTAACAAAACAATATAAATGAATGAGCAACTGAAGAAAAAACTCAAAGAATATAAAATTGATATAAAAGTTGAATCTTTTATAATAACTCTAAATCCTTGATTAAATAAATATCAACAGGTAATGTTAAAAAATTGATCATTAATTTTGATTTCCACACTGTAAAACCTCTCTTGATCAAACTACATCCTCCAACACAGTTGCAGCCAGAGCACATGTGACTCAATCTTTTGATTTACGTCCTCAGTCTGGTTCATCTTGCAACACTAAGTACTGCACTTACAGCAAGAGACGTAATCATAAAGTTGCAAATTGCTGGATCAAAGAAACTGATGAAGGACACCCATTCTCTACTTCCTCTTGACGAGGCGGATCATCTCAAGTCTCCAACAACTCATCTTGTTTCACCACCAAAGCTGGAAATTCATCAGTTGTTGCTCTTGAGTTTAGCAATGATGAAGACAAATTGGTGAATGAAGAAAACTTTCTTCAGGTCAAGTCAGCTAGAGTAGTCTCCACCAAGTCCGCAAACGTGTCCAATTGGAACATCAACTCTGGCTGTTCTCTCTCAATGACACCACAGGAGTAGGACTGGAGGGACGTGTCACGAGGTAAGTGACACATGGTGAGGACTCTTAGAGAGCCTCCAGTGCTAAGCTTTATGCTGTTTGCTACGCTTGCTCTAGAGTCTCCTAGAGTGAGAGTTGCATGCTTTGGGAGGAGCCTAGCAGCTAACTTGGGTTACCGAGAATCCCTTAGGATTTATTCTTGGTAACCGGGAAAGTTAGCAATCTCTTACAGAACAGGTAAGAGCCCTTTCAAACCTTGGGTGGGAGGGGATGAAATCACGTGGGTTTGAAAGGGGGACTCTACACGAGGGAAAGGTGACTAAGAGATGATCAGGAGAATCAGGAGAATTGAGTGAGAGAGAAGATGACAAAGAGGTGATGAGAAGGAAAGAGGTTCTCATCTCACTGGCTACAAGGGAGGTAGCTGGGTATCTTGATGATGAACAACATCTGTGCCTGGATCATCACATAATCCAGGGCGAGCCCAATCACCTCATCTTGTCAGTTCGGGCTTCTTGGTGATGTCACTTAGGGACCTTTCCAGGGCGTGACATGGACCAGGTTGATTCCTGGTGGCAGCGTCACCAACCCAACAAATCAGCTCTCATCGGTCTTGAAGGCTTCAAGAAAATCATCCAACTTGACAATTTGTCATCTATTAAAGCTACTCACTCCGGAACCACTGTCTTACCTATGAATGAATATGCTCATCATCATCCTACTCTGCTTGTCCCGGAACTTCAAGAGCCTATTCTCTCCGTCTCGTCCCTCTGTATGATGGTTTTATCCTTGTCTTTGACAAATCTTCATGCTCATTTTATCACGCTAGCGATGTGTCTATTGCCTCAGAACTGGTTAGCACTGGTTACCAAAGGGGAAACTTGTACTACTTAGCAGCTAAGGTAGATGAACCCTACTCCAATCTGACTTCTGAAAAGAGTTCGGATTCCAGTCTTCTTCATTGGCATCAAAAACTAGGTCATATAGGACTGAAAGCCCTCAAGAAACTTCTATCAACTTCCCAAATGAAACCTGATGTTATGAATGAGATAGATGTTCAAAGGTGTCCTGTGTGTGTGAAGTCCAAGATGGCAAGAAGTTCTTTCAAATCTTGCTCAGACCACAGATCTACTTCTGTTGCTGCTCTCATTCACTCAGATGTGTGTAGTTTTGAGGTGTCATCATGTGAGGGATATAAATACTTTGTAACCTTCATCAATGATCACTCCAAATTTACCATCATATCAAGTCTGG